GTGTCTAGGCTCAGGGAGTATCCCTCCATGTGAAATAGGCTCCCAAAGTCCATTCCTATGCTATGGATAAGTACTGATCTACTACAAGAGGCCCCATAGATTGCCAGGCCTCCTCACTGACACCCACATTCATGGGGTCTGGATCAATTCCATACTGGTTTCCCAGTGAACAGTCTGGGGACCAACAGCACTGTCTTTTTGAGTCTAACTATGGGACCTCAAATGAGTGGAACCATACAGTATTTTTTTTTAATGACTGGCTGATGTTAAGACTCTCTCAGGTTTAATCAAGTGTCAGAATTCCCTTCTCAGTCAAGACTAAAGTTTTACTGTGTGTGTAGATCACATCTTGTAATGTAAGGCCTGCTTAGTGCTTACAACTTATGTAATTGGTGGGCACTTGGGTTGTTTGTATCTTTTTTGTTATTGGTGACCCATGGGGCTGTGATCATGAGTGTACAGCTGTGTCTTAAAAATCTGCTTCCAAGGCTTTGCATATACACCAAATTCCTATTTTTAATTCTTTAAGGGGTAGACCACCTATTTTCCACTGAGGTGACTCCCTTTCCCATCTCCACCGGCAGAAATTCAATTTCCTACATCCTAACCAACATGTGTTGTTCAGATTTCTGTTGCTATAGCAAATGCCTGGGATAAGCCCTTTAGTAAAGAGCAAAGGTTCATAGTTGTGGCCTCCAGGTAGACCAGGCTGATTATTGCCTAATAAATGTCTAGTAGGGGCACAATACCAGGGCAAGGCATAGTGAATGAATCTACTCACATCACAGTCAGGAAGCAGAAAAAAAAAGTCTCAAATTCCAGGATTCTGCTTAAGGGCAGGTCCCCTAAATGGCCTGAAGGCTTCCCACTAAGCCTCACTTCTTAACCCCCACACCCCAACTTCCCAAAGTGTCAAACTACGGACTGGCCTGTATGAACCTTGGGCTGGGAACAGGGCTCTGGTTGTAGCATCTACCCTGCTTGCACAAAGCCCTGGGTTAGAACCTGGTGTGGTGACACATGCTTGTAATCCTAGCACTTGGGAGTTGAGTGTGGAAAGAACAGAAGTTCATGCTCATCTCCAGCTATCTAGAAGTTACAGGTGGCTGTGAGTTGCCACGTGGGTGCTAGGAATCAAATCTGGGTCCTCTGCAAGAGCAGTCAGTGCTCTTAATCTGAGCCATCTCTCCAGGCCCTTTTAGCTTTTTAGATGGCATTCCGTCAATTCAACTTCATTCATTTGCATGTAGGTACTCAGTTCCCCCAACACCACTTGTTCAAAAAGTCTATGCTTCCCCCACTAGACAGTCTTGGCATCATTGTCTTGATCAAATCTGTGGTTTTTCTTTGCTTTGCTAGTCTAGTAGTCTGTTTGGCTTCCTGCCCATACTGTGGTCTTGAAGTAGTAGACTTTGAAATTAGGAAGTCTGAGAACTCAAAGTTTTATTCACTTTCAAGATTGTTTTGGAAATGCAGAGTGACTTGAATTTGGGGTGGGGCTTCCTATTCCACAAACCCCATTACTAGGGTTTGGGTAAAGATCCCTGAGGGATGTTCTAACAGCATTATTTTCTAGACCACGTGCAATGTGTTTTCATTGCTGTCTTTTGAAATCTCAGTTTTGTAGATTTCATTAAGTCTTTCATTTCCTTGGCTAAGTCAGTTAGGAAGAATTTTATTCTTTGTTATGCTAATGTAAATTTATTTTTTAGATTTTTCTCTGTCACTTTGCCTTTTTGTTTGAATGTGAAATGTCATCAGGTTTGTGCATTGAATGTTTGGTCTGCAGCTGGAAAGACTACTTGGGAAAGTGATATAGTCTGGAGGTGGAGTCTAGCTGGAGGAAGTAGGTCACTGGGAATGGTCCTTTGAAGATGACAGCTGATCCCCAATCCCACCTATGTGCTTTCTGTCACAAGGTGGGTGGCCTCCCTCTCCAGTGTCTGCCATGATGCTCCACTTTATCAGGGCCCCAGGATCAATAGAACCAAGACTTATGGATTGAAATCTCTAAGGCCAAGCCCAAATAATCTACTTTGTGTTGTTCTCTGGTATTTTGATCACAGTTTGATGGTTAATCCTGCTTATCAACTTGAACAGATTTGAGGATCAACTAAGA